GAGTCATTCTAGACCCGAGCACAGATCATCCGGCTCATGCCGAATTACCGAGCTTTGTAATTAGCGTTGCCACCCCCCGCCTACGCCGTCTATATTTACTAAAATTGGGTTTTTGGGATAGCTTGGAACTTCGAGCTGCAAGCACTCAGAGCCTCGTATCAGCGTTCTTTGAGAGAGCTCCCATCTATGTTTGTAGAATGAATGATAAACATACTGTTTCAGTGAACGGATCCAAATTCCTGAAAAAAGAAAAATGAACAAATTACACACGTGAAGAAATCAACTGGAGCAATGCCAAAAAACAAACTCAAATAAATAGCGATGCGCATCAGGTCAGCCGATGCGAGTATGCGTTTTGTGCAGCTCCGTCCAGCACACGTTTGCCTGTTTAGGATTTTCACTGCTCTGCACTTTAGTCTGTGCAGAAATGGTTGAAATGTCGTCTGATTCCTAATTTGTGGGATTTCTCACAAGATATTTCACGCATAGGTACGTGAGAACTAAATTTGAGATCTCAGACGGTGAATATCCTCTCAAAATTTCAACCTCCTAATTTTCTGGTTTTCGAGTGATCTTTGTTACAGAACTTCCACGTGGTCGTACGTGAGACCTCGGTATACTTAGGAATTAGAGTTTGTAAAGCTCCCCTGCATAAGCAGGAAACATTCTCCTCAAATCTCCAACTTTCCAGCTCTTCTAGCTCCCAAAACAATGATTTTCCCTGCCAAAACTTTCACGGAGTCGTACCCCTCAATTTTCAGCTTCCTAGCTTTTATGGTTCTCGAGTTGAAAGTTACGGGCAATTTGCATCGGACACACACACGCACACGCATACACACACAACACACAAACAACCCCGTGACAATATGCGTTTTGTGAAGCTGCTGTACAGGGCAAAACGCATAAAAAGAACAATAAATTCCTCCTCCCGCCCCAGCTGCTACTTTTTAGTACATGTACTTACGTGTTATTAAATCGGAACAAGTCGAACACATCGAACGGTCTCACTGCTGTCATTATGGTATTCTAAAAATCGGCAGCTATAAGCACACATACAAAAAAAATAAGACACAAAAATTGCATTAAGCAAACGCGCTGTTCGGCAACAGAAGAATATTTCATCGTTTGCAGCGACAGTAAGCGCGTAAGTCGAGAGAAGCTGCATATATCCACATTATCAATTTTTATGCAGCAGTACCGAAGAGAACAATACGCCAAAAAATACAAAAGAAAAAAAATTTTTGGCAAGTGATGAACAAAGCAAATAATTTTTACATGCGTTTCTGCAATAAACTTGAAACAGTTTGCCATTAACTACTTGAATGGTAGTTGCTTACATTTAGCTTGTTTACTCAGTACTATAATTTAAACTTAGATATTTCATGATTATGGAAATGGTCCTAAAAAGATAAAAATAAAAACAAAAAAAAAAATGAAATCTGAATTGGAATGTTTCGGTCCATTAAGTCGCATACATTCCCATTCAGTGCTGCAACTGGATCACGGTAAATTTTGCAAAAGGATTATGAATAATTTTTGTTGAACAGCCGCTCACTGAAAATGTCATAGCTGTTCAGTGAGCAATTTTGCCCGCCAAAACTTCACGTCCCCGTATGTGAGAACTGCGTATAACTGGTCAGGGGGAGGGAGAGGATGGGGGTCAAATTTGAAATGTTTAACTTCTATGAAGACAGAGAATATCCCTTTGAAATTGTAGCCGTCCTGCTTCCCTAGTTCCCAAGTTAGCAATTTTCCTGCTAAAATTTTCGTGTGCCCGTAAGCAACGACCATGAGTGCTTAAGCGGTGAATTTAAAATCTTTAAGTTGCACATGAAAAGGGGACATCCCTTCGAAATTTCAGTCCTTTAATTTTTTTCGCTCCCGAGTTAGCAGTTTTCCCACCAAGACTTTCACTTGCCTGTCCATCCATGTGTGAAAGTTGGTTCCACATCCCCAACGCCAAACGCAGCCAGGGAGTCCACTGGCAAAATTCTAGCGTCAAAGCTTGCGTGGTTGCCGAGTTGAAACACCGGACAGACAGACACTTATACACATAAACATACATACACATAATGGATCCTCACAAATGCGTTTCTGCATTTTTATATAAGCAAAGACGCACAAAAATCAGATCAAAAATTTTGAAGAGCGAAACTTCAATGACTGTACCGTATATCCTTCTTTCACGAACATTTAACGTAACAAATTAGATAAGAAATGCTAAAATATTTTAGGGGAACAACGATAAAAACAACTATTATTGTGCGCATCAGGCCGAACAGAGAACAGTACTGAAAAAATATCAGAAATCATCGCTCGAGAATTCCCGATAATGTATACCGAAATTACGTAAAAATGGAATATATTTCTTAAGGTGAAACATAATTTTGAAATCGACGGCTTCCCCATCCGGCAACTTCTTCGCATTTAAACAGTACCTATTGTAGAGCACTGAAAGCAATTCATTTAAGAGAGCTGGCACAAAAGAATATTCAAACGAAAAATTCAGCATAATGTGTAACGGAACCGGCTACCAGGCCGAAAGTTGTAGGACAACTTACAAGAAATCACAAGAAAATATCCGCCAGAAAGGGTTAAACAGCTCACTGTAATTGCCCATGAAAGTCTGCGTACATGACAATTTAAGGAAACTGCCATCGAGAAGCAAAAAAACCTTCCAAAATCATAATAACTGGCCAACGCACGGGCTGCCCGCACGAAGATGGGTCTTTTGCATAGCTCCCCGCAGTTTTTGTCGCTACCGGCATCGATTTTATCGGCAGATGCTTCTAGCTGAAAGAATTTCAGACTGGTCGCCAGGACTGTCAGGAAACATCCCTTCAAAATCCCAGTCTTCTAGCTTCTCACTCTCCCAAGTTAGCAACTTACCCGGAAAAAACTTTCAAGGGTCTGTACATAGCTATCACGCTTACCTGCGGGCAGGGTTTGAACTCGTTAATACCTACTTGGACGGGGAACATTCCCCTAGGATTTCAGCATTCTAGCTTTTCAGATTCTCGAGTTATAAACTTAACCGAAAAAAATTTTGGCAGGCCCGTACGCGGGTACCACGCTTACCCGGGGGGATGGGTTTCAGTGTGTTAACACCTACTTGGACAGGGAACATTGCCCTAAGATTTCAGCGTTCTAGCTTCCCAGATCCCCGAGTTATGAACTTATCCGTAAAAAATTTTGGCAGGTTCATACGCGAGTACCACACTAACCCGGGGGCTGGGTTTGAGCTCACTAATACCCACTTGGATGAGGAACTCGTTCCTAAGATTTCAGCTTTCTAGCTTTTCAGATACTCGAGTTATGAACTTACCCGAAAAAAAATTTGGTGGGCCCGTACGCGGGTACCATGCGGGTAATGTCGCCAATTTCGGGGATTGGGACCCGTACGTGCATGTGGATTAAGTTCCCAAAGTTTCAGCCCTGTAGCTTTTGTAGGTCTCGAGATGAAAGACCGTGGCAGACGTACACACGGACACACAG